GTTTGGCTACATTAATGTCACCCCTGTTGTTATTAAATTTTTAAAAATATTATTAATTAAAAAGTGTCGATCAGCAATTTTTTAAAGTATTTTCTTTAATTTTACTCTATCCTTCTTAACAAAACTTAAAATTATCTACTTTATTCTCCTTATATGTACTCTTGTAGTCATTTTTGTATGTGTCTAATTATCTTAAATGATTTTTTACAATTTTTTTTTCAACAAGTATGACTTTTTTGTTTTTTGGTTGTATATTTGTATAGCTTTGTGCGTATTGACCATTTTATCACCAAATGTTAATTGTTTGATCGATGGAATCAAATTAAACTAGTTAGATGGTGAATGAAGGGAGGAATTTCTGTAAGAAATGCTTCACAGAATCGTACGCGTTACAATTTCTGGAACTGGTATTCTGACTGATTCGATCTAAATTACTCAGAGAATAACATGGCCTGATTTGTTTGAAAAAAATGTCAGTGTGATTGGATTTGCGGGGACTATTCCCTGGAAAAGCGATAGTGCCAGATTTGGTGAAACAGAGGATGCCATTTTTTTAACCTGTGGATTTCAGAGTTCAGATGGAGAAACTAGAAACATGTGTATGACTATCCGTGTCCGCTCGGTTTTCCAACCAATAAGGACTAGATTAAGTTGTAAAGTTTAGTTCTGAATTGTAATGAAATGAAATTAAAATTATAAAAATTAAATTATATTGAATTAAAATTTAAAAACTGATTTATAATTAAATTAAAATTATAAAAATTAAACAATTAATTTTTTCTATTATATAATGAAAAGTGCTTGTAGGGTGACATTTATTTTTATAATTTATAATTTTTATTATATAAATGTTTTATATTAAAAGTGTTTCAAAAATATATTGATAAAAATTTGAAATAACATAAAATTTGATATTTTAAATAAGAAGGATAAAAAAATATAAAGTTTGATTTACTGAACGAAAATTATATAAATAGTTTAATGCACATCAATAATAAAAATTAATATGATTAATTGTTTAGTTTATAATGCCTTATACTAGTTACAACTTATTTACAGTTTCTTTTTTCTTTTTGTATAAAAATCAGGGGTAGCATTAGCATGTTTGACATTTATAATTTCTTTTTTATTTTAATAAAAAATCAAGAGAAGCACGGTGAAATCAAAAATTAAGGGGATCATATTTTAAATGTACATTTCAAAAGCTTCTCCAAATCAAGTTGAGCAAATCCACTTTGGTACCTCACATGAAAGATTGCTTTCTCGATTATTTGTTTCATCTTATACTGATTGACGATTAAATTAATTAAAACAAGAGTATTGTAATTGAAATTTGATAAACATCTGCAAATGTTATATTATATTTGTTTGGAGCATTTTCAATTTTCTTTTCTTCTTTTTAATTATTTGTAGTGATAATATAACTTTCAGTCATAAAATTTTTGTTCAATTAATTACCAATTTAGTCCTTCAACTTGAATTTAATTTAACTCAATTCTTATATTGAAGAATAATTTAGGACTAAAATTTATATTTTTGTTCTTATTCTTATATCATCAAATATTATTCATTTCTTTTATTTACTAAACATATTTTTCTCTCTTTCTTGGTCAACATACATCTCCCTGTTGAAATTGTTGTCTCAATTTTTGAGGAATGGGTCAAAGCATCACACCCTTTAGAGACATGCTAGAGGAGAATGTTCTCACAAGTATGTGTTAGATCACATGATTGTGCAAATTTCCAAGGTCCTATACCATGATTCTCTTAGAGTACCAAATGAATGCAAGAAATAACAAGTGCACCAACTGATGTGTAGACTTGATTACATTACTGGTAAGGCTGCACAAAAGATAGGACGGCACTGAATTTCACCCTAACCTAAAGTCCAGTCTCTTTCATGAAAACGATTGGGTTAAGCAATCTAAAGTCCAGTCTTATCCAGTAATAACCCAAAGATTAACAAGATCGGACTTAGTCCATAGGACTGGAAAACTGATTCTGTTTGTCCAGTACTCACTTAGCTTTTTTTTTTCTCTTTTTATTCTATGAGAGGCAATAATATCCATTTCAATACAATAAACTCAATTAAGATAGTAAAAACACTTATAATAATAATAAATCCATAATAATTGCGAACAATAAGAAAAAAATATTTCTATTATAGTCCAAATGATTTAAATTTATAACTTTAACAAAAACAACACTTAGCAAAATTCAACAACACTACATTACAACAATAATTTAGAAACAAACTTAATAAATCTTCATACAATTATCTCCTTAGCATCAATTATACTTCAAACATTTGTAAAAAAATAAATTAATTATAATTATAATAAAAAATTAATAGGACTGGACTGAACCAAGTGGTCTGGATGCCTAATCTCTTGTCCAATCCAACCTAAAGAAATAGTTTGGCCTTTTTAGTCTTTTTGGTCCTGAAAAACTAGTGTCTATACAGACCAAACAAAACTGAGACCATCTCGGGTTAGACTGAACCAAATAGGACTAAAAGACTTTTACACAACCTTAATTACTGGTGTGTTAACACAACAAGTGCTTCATAGGGGTGGAGGAAAAAAGAGAAATACTAGCTAGCCCAAGAAGCAGAGTTTGCATAGATGAAGCAATTCACACTAAGTGAAGTTGGTTGATGCAGTCATACAAGATCAAAATTTGTGTTTTGCACTGATCAAGTCTTGATAAACTTTGACAGAGTGTCAAGAGTCCTTTCATCATGCATTCATTGCCTATTTATAGGAAAATAGCAATGACATGCTTATTTGAATTTGAGTTTTAGTGCTAGAAGGATCAGATAATTGTCTGTGCCATTAAATCGTTGAGGGTGAGCTTTGTCGTGCGAAGTTGGTGAGAACAAGTGCACTGAAAACTCAAGTAGTGGGCAGAGTAAGTGAAACTATGCCATTGACTTCCTAAATGCAATGTTCCACTTACACTTGTGAGGTTGTTGGGTTGAGTTAGCCTTCATATTGGATTGGGTTTCGGCCAATTACCCCCTCAGGCTCGATACGTCACTTTTGGTCCAAGCGGAAACTTATATTATTTTTATTTAAATAGGTTGGTTTTATATTAAAATTTGAAATTACATTTATTCTTTTGATACACTAAATTACATTTATTTTCAGAGTCTATTTTGTAAATAATAAAATTAAAAAAATATATGATTTTAAAAATTAAATTTAAATTCTAAAATGAATCAAACCATTTAATTTCATCCAAATATCTCGTAATTAAATTACTAGTTTGAGTGAATAACAAAATAAATATTAATATAAAATTAAAAACCTTACACTAATGAAGTTGGGTATAATAAAATAAACTAATTCTTTACAATATGATAAACTAATTTAAATTTTTGTTAAGAGATTAGATGCATATATTTAGTATTCGCCTTGAATAGAATTGCCTATAATTGAAAGACCTGTGAGCAATAAAATTACAGACTATACTTCTTACATGTTATAAACTAGTATGTAACCTGCATAAGAGATCAGTACTCTTAAAATAAAATAGGTTTATGTATACAATAGAAAGGGAAAATGAAATATTAATTGGTAAGAGAAAGTGTTTTTTTTTTTTTGGGTAAATGTAAGTATTTTTCTGAAGTACTCTATATGAAGGCCCACGACAAGTTTAATCATGTTGAGTGAAAAATGGACTGGCCCAGGTTTAACGAGCTAGGCCATTCGGATTTGTGCCCCATAAACTTTCATTGTTGAAGGCAAAATCTACAACGCCTTCTTCTTTATCCATGCCCAGCACTGCTTCCGCGCACATCGAGATTCTTCAATCACTTGAACTACACTGAAAGTTTCATGGCTTCATCCATCACGCCGACATAATTCACAAACCCTCTGCCAAAGTGGAATTTAGAACATACGACCGAGAAGCGTGATATTAAGAATAAAGGGATCGGACTGTAATTATAAGTTTATAACCATTTGAATAACGAAGTTCCATCTTTGATGAAGTAATTCCACAAGTTTAGTGCATTTTCTTAGCTCTGGTTATTTTTTCTAGTACTACAAAACCTAAATAAATTCGATTGAATAAATCTATTATATAATATATATATAATGAGCTACTATATGTCTATAGCAATCATGCTATTTGACAAAATCATAAATAGATTTTTCATTTTAGATTTCATTGTAAAATGCGTGGTTGTCAAACTCTCAAGTTAATCCTTTGAATTTGATATTTTTAAATTTTTAACTTATAAAATCATATCAATTCATTCATAAATTTGAATTAGATTCAAACTAAGTTAAACTTGAGTTTACTTTTGAATTTATCTTTTTTATATTTTTAGCTTACAAAATTATGTTAACTAATTCATAAATTTAAATTAAATGTAAGTTTAGTTAAACTTATTAAATTTGCCAATTTTTTTAAGTTGAACGAGTTAATTATATAGTACAAAGAATTTAGTTCATAAAAATTATAAGATCTAGTTTAAAAAAAACTTAAAAAACAAAAAATAATATTAATAAAAAATAAAAAATAAGTTTTTTGATTTTAAAATTTTTATGTTTTGTATGATAATTTATCAATGTAGATAAATTTTATAATTTTAATTATTTATATTTTAAATATATTTAAATCGAATTATGATTATATTTTATATTTTAATTATTTAATAATAAATTTTTAATAACTATTTATTAATAAAAATAAAATTTATAAATATATAATTTTAGTTAATATTTTTATCATGGGTTTACTTAAATTAGCGGGTTTAACAACATTGGTGAAGAGGACAAATAGAATTATGTCCAATTCAATATAAGTTTATTGATAGCATTTAATATAATTAGATCCGTCCATTTCTTTTTCGTTATTTTTATTGGATTGTGCTGCGTGCTAGGCAGACCAGTGCTTGGAAGAATAAATAGAACTAAGCGTAAACTATAATTGAAAGGAAAAATAGTACTACAAATTCGGGGTTTTTTTTTTTTTTTGGGTTAAGTGTTCGATTGTAAAAGGCCGGAACCAAGTCTAGGTTTAGATAGATATTTGCGTCGCACATCTGTACTAGACACGTCGCCGCCAGAAGGTATACTCCTTTTAGCTTCTTCAGATTCTTCTGAATCCGAAAGTCTCGATCTCCGTTTGCCGAAGAAATTCTGCAGCATCGGAGTCGCTTTGCAGATCTTGTCTTCCAAGTGTACAGGGTTTGCCGTTCCCAGATTTCCTTTGCCCCTTCCGTTTTCTCCGTTTCGATGGCTTCCCTCTCTTACTCTTCCAATCTCCAGAATCATTATCTTCTCTTCCGCCCTCCGTATCCAATCAACATCGCGGACTCTTGAGATTCCTTCGATCACGTCTCGATCAAACTTCGCTGACGATTTGGGCAGAATCCATTGATTAAGGTGCCATAAGTAACTGAATTTAAAAGAATTTCTGTTCTTGTATAAATTTAGTTAGTTATGGCACTTAATCTGTGGGTAACCAAGCCTGTTGTTTGGCCAAATTTCTAGCTGGAAGTAGTGTTTTGCACCGAAAGGCATCAACGAGAATGTTTCCGCCTGCAAAATAATGAAATGTCCACTGTATTTTTTTTTTTTGGGAAAATCACTCTGAAGTCTCGCAGAAGTGAATAAGTTTGAATATTGAATTACCAAAATACTCATTATAACCCATGAAACCCAAACACACGAAACACACCACGGTCTCATCGCCTCCATCTTATGTGTCCTGGTTGTAAATCGGCAAATCGACAGTGGATTTGGACAGTGATGGCGACGGCAAGTTCGAACGGCTCATGGGGATCGAACGTCGGATCTGCTACAGCTTAGGGAGAGAGGGTCGTGCGACGAGGAGGCAACAAAGCAATGGTGACATGTTGCACGCACTCATTGCAATTCCAATTCACAGATTCAGATATGTCATTTTAAAGATTGGTTTCATTGAGTCTCTTGACAAATTATATAGAAAGCATGCTGAGGTTTTAAAGTCCTTTACTTTGCCATCAACATGGGTTTCCGGAATGTTTGTGCATTTTGTGTTCATAATCATGCAGTGGATTGTCTAGGATTAATTTCTGAAAATTAAACTTCTGATTTCGGTTCCTCTCTTGCATGTTGTTATTAGATATCGAGAATGGATTTACAAGAAAGCAAGTTGTGATTTGGATTTATGTTGTTGAATCAAAAGAAATCTACCCATTACCGAAATCTGGGCAATGTTTTAATGAAGGTTGCCACTATTTTTTGTAGGACAGATAGAATAATGGAGCAGAGAGGGAAGCAAAAGAGAAAGAATAGTGTAGTCCAGTCTTTCGTTTTAGACCAATGCCAATCAAGAGAGGAAGCAAAAGAGACCAATGCCAACTTGTGTAGTTTTTTTGGAGATGGGTTGGGAAATACATGAAAACTATGAAGATGGAGTATATTTTGTACATGACAATGTCTATTTTTATATAAATCTAGTTTTCAATATGCTATAAAACTTTGTCATTATCAGTTTATATGTTGTAAATACATGTTGCTTGGTGATCAGCCATTGTCAAGTTGTTAATAGAATTTTATAACTTGTTCATTTTTAAAGAAAATTATTACACCTAATTAATGAGTAGTTGTCAATGGCTTAATAAACAGTTAAGTTGACAATTTCAAAAATAGTCATTGGTGGTTGTCAAGTTGTCAAGAAAGTATTATAACTTGTTTAATTTTTAAAGAAAACTATTAGACTTAATAAATAAGTACTTGTTAATGGTCAATGTCTCACTTGTCAATAACCATTTCCTTGTAATCCATGATTGCTATTAAATTGTCCATAGAGTCATATAACTTGTTTATTTTTAAAGGAAATTACTACACTTAATAAATGAGCACTTGTTAATAATCATTACCCTGTAATCAATGGCCATTGTCAATTTGTTAATATGGTATTCTATATTTTCAGTTTAACATTAAATACCAAAATGTCAATATGTAATTACCATTCACAAATATAACAACAACCGTACCAAAATGTTGGCTCAAAACTGACTAATTTGAAATTAATATTCATTCACAATAACATTTACAAAATTAGCTATACAAAATGTACTAACTATACAAAAGGTTAGCACATAATTATCAATCAGGTTATATCCTAAAGTTAATCCATGACTCCACTGGCTCTTTCTATTCCCTTTTCTTGCTTTCTAGGATCCTATTAACAAGGATATAGCTTGACGCTCCTTCACATAGTTACAATAATTTAGTACCCACAACAAGCATTCAACCTTCTTCTATAGTACATTAACCTTCATAAATAAAAAAGAATAAAATAATGGATTAAACGTAGCGAAACAACAACAGGTACCAAAATGTTGGCTCAAAATGCACTAACTTAGAATCCACATTCATAATACCATTTACAAAATTAACTATACAAACTGGAATACAAAAGGTCAGGACATAATTATCAATTAGGTTCTATTCTAAAGTCAATTCATGATCCAACTAACCCTTTCTATTCCCTTTTCTTGCTTTCTTAGGATCTTGTTAATAAGGGCATGGCTTCATGCTCCTTCATATTGTTACAATGATTTAGTACCTGCAACAAGCATTCAACCTTTTTCTTATGAAGGTCATCTTGCACCACACATTATTCTTAAAGTACATTAACCCTTCATAAAACAAAAGAAAAAAATATGGAGCATGAATGATAAAACATAGCAAGGAAATATATGTGTGTGTGTGGGCTGTCTTTCTAGTCGTATATATTTTTGCTATTTTTGGAATTATTCCAAACATTTCAATCAAGATTGGCAGTATTTGTTAACATTTATGTCAACTTTCAATGCAAATATTTTCTGGAGGTTCAAATCAAGTTGATTCCAAAGTACATGATTCAACACATAAAGTTGCATTTTGCAAAACCACCAGTATCATTCAGATTTTTGAAATGCTTCTTCATAGTCAAGTAAAGTCCATTCTCCTCCAGAAATAAATATAAAAGCCAAGAAACTAACATGCATGATGCTATTTTTCAAACTGAAAAGTTAAGTATTTTGTACCACAAGAGTAAGGTTCTAAGATCAATAATCAAAGTTTCACAAAATGTCAGCTAGGATTTAAAATACTATAGATAAAAAAGCCAAGATTACTCGACTACAACTTCTTCGTGCAAAACTTAAATTTGTTTTAGTTTCTGCCATAGGAAATGTAATAGCAAATAAAACCCTAGAGGATCTCTCACTCCGTAATAACAATAAAACCATAATAAAGTTCAAAACCACTGCACTAGTGTAATAAAAAATAACTTATCCACGCAATAATACTTATAAATATCATAAAGTCATGCCGGCCTCAAAATTCCCCTTTGAAAAATAATGCATAATCTATGGTTATATGTGTACATGCTCTATCATCTTGATATGATAAACACAACTAGAGACAAGAGAATTACGATGTATGGGTGTGGGAGAGTTAGTGGATAGCTATTTCTATAGTTGATAATTATTTGACAATTTTTAAATTCCCACAATTTCCTTTCATTGATTGTACCTAATTCTCATATAGTCCCTAAAAAATTAGAGCCCAACAAAAATAACAATGATCAGAAATTTCAATTCTCCATCCAGCGACATATGGAGAAAAGGACCAAATAAATTTGTTTGAAGAGTGACCATGAAAAGGAAGACCTGGGCATGAAAACAAAAGAACAAACAAACAATAGTTAGAGAAGAAAAGGGAGAATCCAATGCCTAGAGGAAGGTGGTGATGAGATGGCGCAAGAGGATGGCAGAGACCATTTGATGATGACAATTGGGGCAGATACGAAGCCACCGTCGCCACTGTTCTCAACGTCCGAACTGGCCATCATTGTCGATATGAGCACCGTCATGTTTGAGCTGTCGACTTATGTAATAGGACACACAAGACGGAGGCAATGAGAGCTAGAGACGAGTGGTCAGCAAGGAACTTTGGGAGAGGCAAGCTTTCAGATTGGCTTTCATGGGTCTTCTTCAAAGTGCATTTTCTTGTGTTTCAAACAATGGGTATTTTTGTAATTCTACATTCAAATTTATTCACCCTCAAGTTCCTCGAGACTTAACAAATATTTCGCTGATTTCATGAGACTTTTGAGTATTTTGAATGCTTTTACAGGATTTCATGGTGATTTTCCCTTGTTTTTTCCCCCTATTGATTAGAGAGATCAGATGCTGTCATTTACAATGCTTTAATGCGGGGGAATTGTGCGATGAATATTTTCAGTATTTTGCTTGACAGAAATCTTTGGAATTCTCTGAAAAATGCGCCGCAAAAAGACTTGGTTTCTTATATTATTGTAGGTTTTCATTTATCTTATTCAATCCTTTCAGATCTAATGACTCACAATACTTTCTTAAGAGCAGCTTGCAGAATGTGGTATGTTTTGGGTTTCTGGCCTGGAAATGGATTTCAAGTTCTTTTATCAATTTTCTTTTTCCATTTCGGCCTGGCCTTTTTTCACAACTTCTTTCACAGATTTTAATACTACTATAGAGAGTAATTTGTTTTCACTTTTTCTTTACTATAGATCTAAATTGCTTGCAATTTATATTTATTTATTATAATTTAATATTTTAACGATGATTTTGTAATTGTGTATGTGGTTTGTTCAAATTTAATCCAAAGACTATAATAAAAAGTGAAAAGAAAATGGAGAAAAACAAGGGGAGATAACACAACAAAGGCAACCTGGTAGTATTACTACCACTTATAGTAGTGCATTTTGCATGTTTATTTAATATGAATGCATATCCTAAGACTCCAATTCATAATTTTCACATAAATTGCCTCACTCCCTCAAAATTTTTGCAGCTCAGGGAATCTGCGGGGAAACAATCTCAAAAAATCTCATCACCAACATATGCTAATGAGGATTGGATTATTTTATTTTTTTAAGCACAGAATTATTTCCCTTTAATATGCAGTTTTGAAGTTTTATAATAAGTTTCCACAAAATATATCTGCAGCTTTGAATTTCAAGTCTACGACAATAACGAGGACTGGATATCAAGTATACAACTTATAATAAGTTACCATGACTTATTTCATAAATTCTATATACTTAGAAGTACATCTGGTTATTATAATATGGATCTTTCCTTTTTAGGGAAGTAAGGATGGAGAATTTTGTTTTTACAATCTAGAGTTGCTAATAAAATGAATTAACTATATTAAATTTGATATAGAAAGTAAAAAACCAAGAAACGTTAAAGAAGAATCAACTGGCACTATAAAATACAGCATGCCTAAAAACATAATTAGTTACTAACGGTGGGACTGTTTTGGATAATTTTAAAAAGTGAATGAACCACATGAAAATCGAAATACATATGCTAATTATTTTAACTTGTTATGCTGACATTGGAAGGACTAATGGTGCGAAAGGCGTAAAAGAGGAAGTCCCAGTCAAAGGGGCCTAGAATCTTTGAAAGAGGTCTTGCATTGTTTGATTAGAGAGTTTCATCTTCATGAGCTTGAGCTTATTTACATGAGTAAGATTAGAATTGTCAATTAAGATTGAGTCCGTCGGACCGGCCCTTTTAAGCCCAAAAACAATCTAAGGCCGGACCGCTATTTCAAAGTGCAAAATGATGATTTGGGCTTAAAAGACCCTTTTAAGTCCTAAAATAAAAAGTCAGCCCTTTTATATTTTTTTAAAATTTTAATATTAAAAAAATAAATATTATGCTAATTCTAAAACTATAACCTTATTTCACTTGGATGAAGAAGAAATATATAAAAAGTTTAATATCTTTGCTACTATTAAGGCTTCATAAAGAGAAGGATAGAATTATATTGATGATGATAATAAAAATTATCAAGATTTAGCTGATAATGTTAGCAAAATCTAATTATTATTAGTGTTAATTTTTTAATATTATTATTTTTTATTAGACTTAAATTTATTATTATGTGTATTGACTTAAATTTATTTTTATAGATTTAATATTACATCTAATAAAATTTTTAAATTTTAAATATGTTTTTCTAAAATTTTTAAATTAAAATATATAGGGCCTTTAGCTCTGAGAGCCAGGGCCGGGTTGGCCAAACTAAAGCCTTGAGGTATAATCAAGCTTTATAGGGCTAGCCCGTTTAGGCTCTGACCCTTCAAAGAGCCAGCCCGGCTCTAATTGACACCTCTAAGTAAGATGCCCTTCAACATGGGTCTTAGAAAAATGATCACAATGTTATAAGCGCAATAAGTAGTTTCTCAAGGCCCACATGGAGGCACATTGAGGGGTTCACTCAGTGTTATAGGCTTCATGAAGAACCATGAAGGGTAATAAGACTTTTTTGGCCATTCTTAAAGGTCAACAATAGAGCCATTAATTAGGGTCGAGCCTGTAGGGTTAACCCTTTTAAACTTAAAAAAATTGAGAATCGGACTACTATTTTGATCTTCAAAAAAGTAAATCGGGCTTAAAAGGGCTAATTCAAAATTCTAGGCCG